CTCGGCTAACACGTGGAGCCATGGCTAACACCTGGAACCCTGGCTAACACCCGTAGCCTCGGCTAACACCCGGAGCCTCGGCTAACACCCGGAGATGCTAATACCTCAGTGACACCTGCACATACGAAGGACTCAGAAACACAAACAAAGTCGAGAACAACCCAGTTTCTCACTTTTATTTTTCTACAACAACGAACTGAACTGAAACTTACAAACCTGTAGTGACTTTTTTTTTTTTTTTGCTTTACTTGTTTCCCTCTCATGACCCTCATGGATCCTACTGACCGCTGTGTCCTGTGCTTGGATATTTTAAAAAGGGAGAACAGGGTCAGATGAGCTCCCATTGGCAGGTTGAGCCGAGAGCAGCCAAGTCCAGCAGCTTGTTGAAGTAAACGAGTCTTTAGAGCTGTTGGAGGTATTTAGGATGCTAAAGATGAGCAAGCGAGGTTTGTTTGGTGCATAAAAAGCAAGAAGGAAGTTGATCGGTCACATGAGGGGACATGAAGTTTGTGTTCAAGAAGAGCTTTAGCACTTTAGGAAAGAGGAAATAATGGAAATGCCTGAATGAGTGTTACAGCTGATGTTACAGGTGGACTTATACGTGTTCCAGATGCAGATGTGCGGCGCTGTGCAAGACTTTTAGCCACGTGTGGAAAAAATGTAGTGATGTCTTCATAAATAAATGCAAATTATTAATGGGGTTATCAGTTAATTTCATACAGAAAGCAGAAAAGAGAACAAAAAAACACATAAAAACAATATTTGGTGCAACCAAACCAAACCAGTTCATCGTTCAAGGATTGTTCTGTAGATTTAAAGTGTTTTATGTCACATCATGTAATCACAGACTGAAAACGGGCTGCAAAAGGATTTTTAAAAAAAACTGTAAACTATATTTTTAACATATCAGGATGTACAAAATGACCCGTTTTGAACCATATGAAGTGTCTAAAACTGTTGCACAGTTCTGCATCTGTTTGGCTGATATTTGGTTGTAATGCACAAATGGTGAAGATACGTTTGAGGTAATTCAGAAAAATCGTCTCCAGAGACACCGACAAGCTTTTATTAACCTGCAAAATGTTCCACTTGGTGCATATTTAGGACATGGATCTGTAAAAAAGAAATTAGAGCTGCTATAACTGATCAAAAACTGGATCAAATTAATCAATAGCACGTATAGAAAAAAGAGTAAAAAGAGAATTATGACTTAACTTTAGAATTCCAATCAGCTCGACCGAGCATTTCAGCTTCTTTTAACTCATTGTTGTGGTTTTGCAGACAACAACCTGACTGATTGGTTTCATTGATTTAAGGCTACAGCAGGGAGTTATTATTTGCAATTTAAAAAAAGCCTGCAACTCGCTCGTTAGCAGCTAATGAGACATATTTCCCTCAGAAACTGGATAAAATGTTGTAAAAAATTTAAGAAATTCCCCTTAAATTACTGCTAACATTTCTCTGTGTCTGCTGGATGTATACATGGGAAGCTCTTTGCTAACTGGTTCACCAAATCAACTTCATACGATGATTGTTTCCGTGTTTAAATCTAGTTTAGCTGCTCCAAGTGGCCAAAACCAGGATATTAATGGTGCTTTATGAGATCTTTATCGAACACTTTGTGAACTTCTGTTTGTTGGGTTTCCACTATTTTAACATAATGATGATATTTTCTAGCATTAGTGCAAATTAAGGTTCATTTGACCCTCTTCTCGGCTTTTTTTTTTGTATGTGCAGCACTGTTTTTAGGCATGTGTTCATAGAAGCGACCCGATCAACTTTGGGAAGAGGAGAAAAATCTACTTTTATAAAGTATATATATGTAATGGCATAAATGGCACCAGTAGGTTGTGATATTTGGTTAATAAAATAATAAAACTGATAAAAACTGACTGAGTGGCTCCTCTGAGTGGTAAATGGATTTTAAAAAGTAGCATCAAGCAACTGCAAGACCAGAACATATTCCACACCTGCAGGAACACGCTGAATTCAGCTTTACAAAGACAAAAACTAGACTTTCTGCTCCTTTATGGAGTAAAACGCCCCTAGAATCTGCTAAAGTGACCCGATAATGTTGAGCCAACCCAACCTACACGACCTCAGACCTTCTAAAAAGTCAGTTGAAGCGTCTGTTTACCCATCAAACCCCTTCAGGCTTCGAGCAGCCGGTTAACTGGTGGCTTCAGTCGTTTGTTGACTTACCTCAAATTTGACAACTTCCAACAACGCCACACCCAGACTGTCACTGAAAACCCAGTTTATTCTGCTCCTGCACACATCGGGACACCGGCAGACTGAACTCCACAAAAACTCACCATTTAACCCAAACACACATCCGGACGTTGTGTGTCTCGGCAGGGCGGTGGGCAGGTGAGGAGGGCAGGTGGTGGACTTGGAAGTGCGGAAAGTTCCAGACCGGTCCTGGTGAGTATCTCCGATGATGTTTATCGATATAAGACCAGATGTATTCCAACTGTACCGGTGTGTTGCATCGGTTTAATGCGTGAAATGGTCTCAAAGTCATTCATTCACAGTAAAGCTACAGAACGGACAATACCGATGGTTCCGTATGTTCGGACAACACCAACAGAGTTTTCTTTTGTTCCTAACTGTTACCAACCATATGTTTATTTTAGTTTGCATTTTATAGTCTCCCAAAAGCTACGGTCCTATACAAGAAAACTGCATTCTATGTTTTACTAAGAAAGGCTGAATAAGTTACTAAGACCAGGGTTCACATCCCATGTTGGACCATTATTCCTAAACTCACCCACTGTTTGGTTCAGTTGAGGTCATAAAACTACATGGTTAGGTTTAAGAAAACATGCTTTGGTCGACAGTTTCATAACAATAACTACATGTGGGAAGTTTGGTTAAGTTTAAGAACCAAAACTACGCGGTTAGGTTCAGGACAATAGCCCAGTTTGGCTTAAAATACAAACATTTCACCAAATGCTTGAAGCTTCTCCTCCATTTTCTGGGTTACCACGGTGATAAATCCCAAAAACAAGCAACACTAAAACATAAAATAAACAAAAAATGACACAACAGAACGTCAAGATTGATCATCTTGTTTGAATTTTATCATAAAGGATGTGAAAAAAGTCTAATTCCAGACTATTATTACGACTATTACTACTCTTATTCTTAGATTTAGTTTGCACTATATTTGATTCAGCAAAGGAATCAAAACTACGTGGTTAGCTTTAGGAGAATATCCCAGTTTGGGTTCAAATACGACCCCTTTAACAAAATGCTTGAAGCTTTTCCTCCATTTTCTGGGTCACCAGGGTGAGGAGTCCCCACCCCATCAACCCAGGGCTGAGTATTAAGAAAATAACCACACTTTAGTTGATCCTCTCACAACTAAAGAGAAAGTCGTGAAAGTTGTTGAGGCCCTTGGATGAAGGTAAAACATCTTAAAGAGAAGTTCAGTTGCTTTTTACTGAAGCTTCCACGATCCATGTTGATGTTTAATGCAAAGATGCAGCTAGAGAGCCGTTGCTAACCGGCTTAGCATCAACAAAACAGACGTTCATTACAACCCGAGGAAGAAGACAGTATGGCTCACCAAGAAAGAAGAGTCGTAGAATGGTGGTCAAACTGGTCTCATAATTAGAAGCATATTTGTGCTACGTCACCAACAAATGTAATCCAGCAGAGAGGAAGTTCCCCCTAGAACGTAGCTGAGAATGCAGTTTAGTTGTATAAGAATGTACCTTTTGGTAAAACAGGCTATTTTTAATTGCTACAAATTCTCTTTCCAGATAATCAGGGAGACCACGATCTGATCTCCTGCCCTCCGTCATCCGTCCACGATGGGCGAGAAGTTCAGCAAACCCGCCTCTAAACCCTTCCAGAACTCCAAATTATTTGCCTCTTTTAGGCGCTCCCCTCCCAGACGTCGCTACTTCGACCCGCATCCGTCTAACATGCACTCGCAGAGCATCTTTGCCACCCTGAAGAGACCTCCAGTCGCCAAGCCCACCGATTTCATAACTCTGTTCAGCGAATCCATCTCCGTCGCCTCGACCAGAACCCAGGAGTACCTCGTCTTCAAAGATCCCGAGGACAAGTTCCGCCCGAGTCCTGAGGTGCTCACTCAGGTAGGAACCTTCGTCACCAAAATGTTTTATCGATATCCAAGAAAATGTGTAAACATCTCGCCCTCTGACAGGTCTTCCTGATGACCTACATCACGCAGAGCGTCAACTTCAAGATGACAGAATCCTTCAACTGCACGGCCATGACGCCCGAGCAACGCATCCTCCTGGGCGCCGACTGGGTTTGGGCCGTGCTGCAGAAGCCGACCAAGAACCCCAAAATCCAGATCGCGGTGCAGGTTCTACACTTACCAGAGCGGGAGGAAGCCGAGGAGAACCCGGAGTCCTGCAGCGAATCGGTCCAGATGGCCCAGATGGAGTCCGGCAACAGGAACGTCTACGAGAGGATGGTGGACTTCTGCAGCTCCGTCGGGAAGGAGTGCTACGCCTTGTTCTTGTTCTTCGGGAAGAAGAACGACAAGGAGAACATCTACGGTGTCCTGAGCAATAACTTTGACGCAGCCATCGGGAAGTGCAACAAGATCGACAGAGCGCTGATCGAGAACTTCTTCAAGGGCTCGAGGTATCTCCATACACCGACGGGAATGATGCAGGCGATCGTGACCAAGAGGCAGGGAGATCCCTTAACTGTCATGGTTAAATTCAGCTCATAACACAAGAACACAGCATGCGACCTGGAGGCCGCTGAGGTTGTCTTTAAAAAATGTTGAATGTCAAGAACTTTAGAGGCCTTTGAAAGAAATTTTATTTTCAGCATTCCCCAGAAGTTTCCTGCTGTTCATTGACAGTCCTGCTTTTTTTAACAACCTAATTCAGTAATTCAATAAACGTATACCTTTAAAACAAGAACAGTTCAAGCTTCAGTGTTACCTGGAAAACTAGACAGGTGTGACATACCAGGCAGGTCCATAGACTGTATAAACCGTAACAGACAGACGTAGCGACCGAAGCCTCAAGTTTAGCATTTCGTCATTTTGATCTTTTGAAACTGGATGGAACGATGGAAGATCTTTAGGAACAGGAAGGTGTCCTCGCCATAAAACATACGCCGCTTTACCGTCTATTTTACTCTACAGGGGGCTTTCATTTACTCAATTGAAATTATGTTGTACTCAATAAGTCTTGAAATTAGCGACTGAGATCATAAACTGGGCAGAAAAAAGTTTACCGAGGTAACAGGTTGAGAGAGAAGTCGACTCATTTTCTCATTGACTTCTACAGATTTGGACTGTTTTTTGGAGTCGCCCCCTGCTGGCTGTTAGAAAGAATGCAGGTTTAAGGCTTCGCTTTTCAGACATGGAAGCCGTGTTTGTCTTTTATATCCAGTCTGTTGGAAGATCCCAAAGCAGTGTGTGAATCCATATTACAGTATCTGAAGGAATTTAGAGGCATTCGGAGGAAAATTCTGGTTATTTTCAGCATTTTTCAGCATTAAATCAGTAATTCAAGAACAAAAATTTGCGGTTACACGCCTTCAGGCTCATACAGTTGCTCTGGTTTTAGTGCCAAACACGTGTTGTTGTAACCTGATGTAAATTTGATTGTTTGGCGTTTTACCGCTGAGCAGCTCGAGCTGAATGTTTGTTTACTTTTTTCGGTGACGTTACTTTAACAACACTTTTACCTGAAACTGCTGTTCTCAAGGTGAATTTACTTGTTTTTTTACGTCACTCATTGCAGCAGGTTTATTGGAAAACTGAGCGAAAGACTTGTGTAACGTGTTAGCAAATGAAGACGCAAGTGTACGGAAAATATCTAAAATTAAAGCCGCAAGCGGCATTTGACGGGTCCTCGCCCGACGCTTGTCGGCCTTCGCGCACGTCGGGGTGTTGCGGGCGGAACTCTGAGCCAGCATGTCGAGTTTGGGGCAGATCGGAGCAAGTGTGGCCTAGTTACGAGCCACTTCCTGTTTAGTGGCGAGCCGTGGCGGCGTGCGTGTTGGCCGTGGTGGAAACGTGCTCTGGCTGAGACTCGGAGCACGTGCGTAAAGTTTCAGGAAAATCGGAGCACACACAGGCCAGTTAACAGCACGTCTCGTTTTGTGGCATTTTAGGGCGTTGTGGCCACGCCCCCAGGTGGCGTTGTGAGTGAGAATGGTCATATGGCTGTGATGAGGGTGAGAGTGTGATGCAACATGTGAAGTTTGAGAGGCATTGGAGCATGCATGGGCTATTTACACTTCACTTCCTGTTTAATGGCGAGCCGAGGTGGCGTGCATGGCATGGCATGCTGGCAACGCGCTGTGGCTGAGACTCAGAGCACGCATGTAAAGTTTCAGGCCGAT